TTATTCAAAGTGTCAAGAGAAGGATGACCCAATCGCCTATGCCATAACTCATCAACTGGCAAAGACTTCAAAGCAATATTGACATCTCCCTTCACTGCTGCACAGTCTTTCACAAAAGAATATAAGCCATCTGCTTCTTCACAACTCTCATCAACTGGCAAAGACTTCAAAGCAATATTGACATCTCCCTTCACTGCTGCACAGTCTTTCACAAAAGAATATAAGCCATCTGCTTCTTCACAACTCAACAAGACTTGTCCAGTTGCCTCATCACGTACATAACATTTCTTGGCATGAAACTCAAGGAAAACACTGTTATCCCTAGCAAGCTTAGAGACCGAGAGAAGGTTTTTGGTTATTTGAAGGACATGTAACAAGTCATTTAGTAATAGCACACAAGAAGCAGACGACATAACATATTTTCCAACCTTATTAATATCAAGTGATACTCTATTACCTACAGTAAGCTTACCTGGTCCAAGAAATTCAGATTGATTCATCATATTAGATGTATCAGGGGTGACATGATGTGTGGCCCCCGAGGCTTTTGCCACAAGTGACACTGCAACCTAGTTCGCCCACGCCCCCTTCCAGTATTCCTCATACCAGATCTATTAGCATAACGGTTTGACCTGGAATCTTGACGATTAGGAGCATTGTAAGACCTACGACCCATACTACCTTGAGCAAGATTTGCACTAACAGGAAGCATATAAGTTTGTTCATCAAATCCGACCAACTGTGACTCAGCGTCCATTAGCATCGTGTAAATGTTATCTAGTGACAACATTTCTTTCATGGTTGTTATAACTGCCATGAATGGCTGGTATTCACGTGGCAAACCTTTCAAGATTATAACAATATGCTCAACATGAGAAATAACACTCCCACAAGAAGCAAGTGCATCACACACCTCTTTCACTCGTGTAAGATATGTGTGCATGCTGTCACTGCCTTTCTTCAACGAGTGAAGTTTGTAATGAAGATTCATTAATGTTGTTGTGGACCTGTTTGCAAAGAATTGCAATATTGTTCTCCAAACCGCCGCAGTTATTTCTGCTCCTACGAACTGAGGAAAAAGATAAGGGTTGATGGTCGATAACAACCAAGAAGCAATAGCATTATCTTGTGCAACAAATTCTTCATAGCTTTCATTAATGCGTTCCTCACCATCATCATCTAGCACAGTCTCTGGTGGAGGCATTATGGCTCCGGTTAAGAGTCGTTCAAGACGGTGACTCCGAATTGTCAACAAGATCTACTGCTTCCACAACAAGAAATTTGTCGCATCAAGGATAATGTTGACCTTATTGTTCAAGAAAGTCTTTGTACATCCAAGCGTAAGATCCATAGTAAGAACAAGACAACAAGAATGAAGCAAACAGAGGAAAGAAACTTTTCGAATTCACCCATAACCACCGACGATTGAGTTACTGCTTCTTTAATAGAATATGAGTACATTCATTAATGAAATGTGGAATGAATACAAGTTGTACATCAGCAAGCTATTAATACATAGCTTTGCAAGCAGTTACTACTAACATACTACTAACAACCTAGCTAACCACATTCAACAGCTAACAACCTCTTAAATGTTGTTGACTCAGCTAACTGCTGCTTACTCAGCTTACATGCATACGCTGCATACACCTCTAATAGGTATACAGATCTTACAAGATTTCACCACCCTCAGATGTGCTTACAAAGGTTTGATCTCACGTTACACCATACTACACATATGAGTTCACTTTTTGCAAAACGTATAACCATATAAATACTTGCATCAATTGATATATGTCTAGTTGGATGGGGTATAATAGAACTCATAATGAACTCCTTTGATAAAGAGATGGAAGTAATTGCAGTACAGGTAATTAAGTGTCAAGTTAAGGTTGTTAAACACAAAAGATGGTGCTCATTTGAAGCAGAGAATGAAGAAAGGCAAAGCTCCAATCACCATCATCTTCCCCACCAAAAGCGAAGAAAAATCTGGTGATTGCAGAAGCACTAAGCTTTTCCATTCCCATTCACTATTTCTAGTAAACACTTATTGGTCTCTAGTGCTTTGTCTTGGTGGACTTTCTCATCATTGCTAATTGCTAAGACTATGGAAATAAAGATGGTACCCCTCAAACTCTCCCTCTCTTTTGAAACCAAATCATTCTCTCTTGAAATTCTGTCTCCATGAATTTTGGCTATTTCTTCATGCAAAATGATATATTACTTTATCATACTTTTATGATTTGAACTTTCCTATCTATTTTAATATATTCATAAATATATGTTGGTTTTTATATTAAATCTCAAACATATATTTTATGCGTATCAGATGAGAATCTCATAGTAAATAATATTGAATTTAATTTTATATCTAGATTATAGAATCAAGTTTAGCCCTTTTTTACTATATAAATTTAGTAGGATAAAAATGCAACTGTAAATCGATAAAAAAACTTAATTAAATATATAAATTTATCTGTAAAATTAAATTCAAAATATAATTCAAACCCAAAAAAAATTATAAAAGATATTTGTATCCAACATCTATAATGGAATCCTATTAATACATGAAATCGATGTAACTCTTATATTCATAAAAATATTTAATAATTTTAAATTTCAATACTATAAATTAAATTAAATTAAATAAGTTTAAAAAATTAATTTAATGATGTTTTTATGATATTCAATTTAACTCAATTAATTTTTTTAATAAATTTTAAATTTAATTATAATGCAATCTAGAAAAAATGAGGAAGGAAACTTTAGGGAAAGGAAGTCCTCTAGTGAGTTTAGAGCTTATGATCTAAAAGAATATAAGAGAATTAAGATAAACAACTTTACTAACTGATTAAATATACTTACTTAAATTAATTAATAAATTAAATATTTTTGATTAATCAAAATACATAAACCCATGGGCCATAATTGATATTCATATCCAAATAATATAAGTCACTTGTAAAGCATGATATCAATTTCTAGTACTTATCTCTTTATTTGTTTAACTAGCATTGATGTACTCAACTAAATAAAATTATGTATGAATCAAATGATTTAGCAATAATTAAGAGATTATTATGATTTTTATAGTTTTGAGTTGGTGTGTGATGTTTGCAGGATATATGAACATTTAAATGATTAAAAATCTTTTGAATATATATTATATTGTATTTATCTAGGACTAATAAAAATTTAAGGGTTAACTGCACGGATGATCACTTATATTTGTGTTTTGTCTAATTTTGGTAATTGATTTAAAAAAATATAAGATATTATCACTTTCGTTTTTATTTAATTAAGATATGATCACTTTCATTTTTATTTAATTAAAACGTGGTCATCACGGATTAACTGATTTTAACAATTAACAGAATATGTAATGTGATAGTTGGTATAATCACATATTTGATCCCTTTTATTTATATATTCTTTCAATTTAGTCCTACTTTTAAAGAAATTTTAACATAAAATATATAGCTTTAAATGAAAATAAAAATACTTTTTTAAATTAAGTTAATAATAAAATATATTTAATAATTTAATATAAAAATATTTTAAGTTACATCATGTTATCTATTTTAGACCAAATATTTATAAATTTAAGTAGTTTCTTAATTGATAAAAGTTTGAATTTTTTGCTTTAATTTACTTTTCTTTGTTTTCTTTATATCAATTTCCCCTTCTGTAAATAGACGAAGGATGGGTGTAGTTGAATTTTAATTTATCGCGATGACCTGCCTCTCACTTTTTGTTTTATTTTTCTGTTTTTTTTATTATCTAAAAGCAAAAGTTAAAGCAAAAAATGAAAGATCATGGTCTACTGTATCTTGCGACATCAAATAGCTCTGAAATTTCAATTTTAATTATGATAGCTTAACCTGGAATTGGACATTTGATTCTCCAAAATAAATCCCATTGGGCCACATTTCTCTTTAGCCAATCATAAAGCAAAGCTAAATAATACTATATTGATTTTTATCATGTCCTATTATAATATTTACGGGTATTATCTTTTATTTTATTATCATGGACTGTACAACAAAAAGTACACGCATTAATTCATTATGCTAAAGTTTTGATATGGCACATAAGGTTGATATTTAAAACTACCCAAAGGCCAAAAGGGAGAAAGATGCAGGCGAGAAAAGACAACTTTGGGGTTGATTTTATTTTTCTTTTAATATTCTCAAATTAATATCATCAATGCTACCTCTTAATTATTGTGGATAAGTATATTTATGTTATAAATATAATTCTTCCAACTTAAAATTTTTAAGAAATTATTTTTATTATTGAGTTAGACTAATAAGTTTTATTGATTAAATTAATTGTAATTAAGATGCTAAATCATGGTTTAACTCATCCATTTTCTAAATTTAAACAGAAAAGTAGGGCCAGCAAAAGAAGCAGTGCAGTGATAGGTGAGCAGAGACCAGACAGGATTGTCTTCTTTATCAGGGAGTGAAAAAATCTATTGCTCGTACTTCCTCTAATGCCTGCTATTGCTTCAACAATTAAAGCCACCACTGTACATTGTTTTTTGCCTTCAATTTTTACCCACCATTGCTCTATTAATGTGCTCCACCTGCATTTTGCTTACTTAACTTGGGCCTAGCATGTTCCAATTCATTATTTAAAATAAAAACTTATTGTTCATAATGTCATTACCGAAATAATAATTATAATATATGTAGATTCTTGCCTCAAGGTGTAATCTTTAAATAATAAACTAATGTTAAAAAATAATAAATATTGTCGGCTACTATAGAAAAAATTGAATTAAATTTCCTAAAGTTACACGTATTTTGGTTTTGATACTTGAAAAAAATAGATGATTAATGGAAAGGCTTACGTCCAAATCTCTGCAAGTATTTAAGTTGGAAAAGAGCCGGGAATGGGTGAGGTTTTTGTTTAAAACTGATGGGCATTTAGGGTATCCAACAGGGATCAGGCTTCGTAAGTAGAACTACAGCGACTAGCATCTTGTAATGTGTTCTTGGGGTCTTTAAAAGGAAAAGAGGAATACAAAAGAGGGAATGAAAGAAGGAGCGTAGGGTAAAGCAAAAGAAGAGGTCTTTCTCATACACAGATCCCAATGGAATGCAGGAAGGATGCCCAGCATTAGCTTGCTGGATCACTTTCTTTCTTTTTTGTTTAGTTTAAAGGGACTTGCTTTGTTCCTCTTTAGAAATGTTCAGTGAGAGATTAAAAAGAAACATAGAGAGAGAGTCTCATGCATATAGAATAGATTCAGTAGCAGGAGCTTTGGATTTGTTTTAGATGAGTTCTTAGATTTGGTCCATTTACTTCTGCAGCTACGAAACAAAATTTCCCAGTTTTCTTTATTTCTTTGGCTCTCTTTTCTTTCTTTTTAAAAATAGAGAGAAGCAAGGCAATGTCTTTTTTTTTTCTATGATAATGTTATTTGTTTGTCAATGATTGAGAAGCCCTTGCAGTAGAAACTCACCAACTTTCCTAGAATCATTGCTGGGTTTTGAAAACAGCAGCATAGTAAGAAAATGAAGTCCATGAGTAAAGATGATCACAATAACAACACAAACTGGTTAGGTTTCTCTCTCTCTCCAAACATGAAAATGGAGGTTAGCAATCAAGAAGCCCATCACTATACACAGTCTGCATCAGCTTCAGTTGCTGCTGGTGGTGGTGTTGGAGTCACCACAGCAGTTCCATCAATCTTTTTCCAGTCTGCTTCTCATCTTAATTTTGGACTTTATTATGGAGTTGAAGGAGAAAACGGTGGCTTGTATTCTCATTTCCCTTTCATGCCACTCAAGTCTGATGGGTCTCTTTGTTTGATGGAAGCTCTTGACAGGTCACAACAACCACAAGGTAATTAGGCTCTAGAGATTGCTTGTTTATCATTTTTGGGTTTTGGTTTACGTATTTTTCTTAAATTTCTCTTTCCTTTTCTGTCTTTGACTTTTGGTGTGAAGCAATAGTTCCATCTTCAACTCCAAAACTGGAGGATTTCTTTGGGGGTGCAACCATGGGGACACATCACTATGAAAGCAGTGGCAGAGAAACTATGGCTTTAAGTTTGGACAGTATGTATTACCATCAAAATCCAGGTCAAGAGCACAACAACCAGGATTGCTTAGATCGCCTACAACAGTCGTCCAGGCAGCTGCACCACCAACAGCAGCCTGAGGCTTCCCAACAGTACCAATATTACTCGGGATATAGGAACCAAGAAATGTTACTTGGAGAGGAAGCTAAAGAAACCCATGTTACAGATTGCAATCTCCAGGCTCCAACAATGGCGGATGATGGTGCACCGGGAATGAAGCTCTGGGTTTCGAGGAACTACTCCACAGAGAATGCCATGCATCAAAAGATGATGGGTTGCATGGGTGATAATGGGGCTGAATCTGGCTCTATCGGTGCCATAGCATATGGGGATTTACAGTCTTTGAGCTTGTCCATGAGCCCTGGCTCACAATCAAGCTGTATTACTGGTTCACACCAAATCTCACCTTCTGCAACTGACTATGCAGCCTCCATGGAAACCAAGAAAAGAGGGCCTGAGAAGGTAGATCTGAAGCAAATCGTCCATAGAAAATCCATTGATACTTTTGGTCAAAGAACCTCTCAATATAGAGGCGTCACAAGGTTAGTGTTTGTCTTTTTAATCCTAATATTCTTCTGTCTTCAATCAATCTTTACACTTTAACTAAAAAAAGCTTCCTTTTTTTTTCAGTAACCAAAGTTTTTTTTTTACTCTGAAAAAAGCTTCAATTTATTTATGTTCTTAGTTTTTGTTGTGTTTTTGTCACTCAGACATAGATGGACTGGAAGATATGAAGCCCATCTCTGGGACAACAGTTGCAAGAAGGAAGGGCAGAGCAGGAAAGGAAGACAAGGTTAGATATTCCTGCAATATCATCTATTTTCATTATTTATTTAGTTTTTTTGTTCTTGACCTGATTCTATTTTTTGTTCTTTTTGGACTGGGGTTTTGATTATAATGAAATGATGATATTCACAGTTTATTTAGGTAAGCTCTTCTGACATTATTAATAATTATCAAAGTATATTACGTTTGAACTTTGAATCTGTCATGTGCTGAATAGAAAGTGATTCCAAAATCATAATGTTTAGGGGGTTATGACATGGAAGAGAAAGCTGCAAGAGCATATGATCTAGCTGCACTCAAGTATTGGGGACCCTCCACTCACATCAACTTCCCCGTAATTTATCTAATTCTTACATTTTCAAATCTAATGCTTCCTTTCTTTGGAACTTTTTCAGTTTTCTTTTTATGGTACTGAAATGGAAATTATGGTGTTTTTTTGGGGCAGTTGGAGAATTACCAAAAAGAACTTGAAGAAATGAAGAGCATGACAAGACAGGAGTACGTTGCTCACTTGAGAAGGTACGTTCTTTGCCTCATTGTAGTGCATGGATCACTAGTTGATGTTTTTTTATCAAATTTTCATAATTAAACTATACAGGAAAAGCAGTGGATTCTCAAGGGGAGCTTCAATGTACAGAGGAGTCACAAGGTCTTGTAGTCAAACTACAATTATATGATACTTCAACTGTAAAAATCCATCATTTCAGCTCTTTTTTCTCATAGTTCATATATAATTTAAGCAGACATCATCAACACGGAAGATGGCAAGCTCGTATAGGAAGAGTTGCAGGGAACAAAGATCTTTATCTTGGAACATTTAGTGAGTATTCTTTGGGTATTTTAATCAATCATATGTGTGTTTTTTATTGACTTATGAAAGGCCAATCTTTAGCTATTTCGGCTTCTTTTAAGCCACTAGTCATGCTTCCACAAGTGATGTGATCTTTTTTCCAAAAAGAAAAATACAACAAAAAAAGCCGAGTGAAAAAGAAACAACAGTTTCCTTAAGGCTGTCTGTCCACAAACATGCACAAAAAGGAATGTGAATGATAATTTACGTTGTTTAACTTCAGGCACCCAAGAGGAAGCAGCCGAGGCTTATGACATAGCTGCCATCAAGTTCCGTGGGGTGAACGCTGTGACTAACTTTGACATCACAAGGTACGATGTCGAAAGAATCATGGCTAGCAATACCCTTCTCGCAGGAGAACTCGCACGGCGAAACAAAGATATCGGACCCGGTAACGAGACTGTCGATCACAACCTTTTAACTGATGGCACCATTGGTGAAACCAATAATATATCGCCGAAGAACAATGGAGGTCAACCGAACTGGAAAATGGTCCAGCAACTTGAGATGAAACAGCCGAAGGAGATCGAGAACTACAAGGCTCAGGCTTTCTCATTGGCACCAGAAACCATGATCGGGGTTGACACAATCAGTTCAAACCACAGAGAGGTGGATGAATTGAGCAAGATGGGGACTCGCTTGTCGAATGCTTCTTCATTGGTGACTAGTTTGAGTAGCTCAAGAGAAGGTAGCCCCGATAGAAGCAATTTACCAATGGCGTTCCCCATGCCTCCTCCAGCATCCAAGTTGTTCTCCAGTTCAACAAACACTGTGAATTCTTGGATTCCTTCAGCTCAGCTGAGGCCTGCAATTTCCATGCCACAGATGCCTGTTTTTGCTGCCTGGACAGATGCATAGATTCGACGTTTTTTTTCTTTTTCGCATGGAATTAAAAATATCAGGAAAAAAGGCTTGTGTTTTATCTTTTATTCTGAAATTTTCGTTTTGAGGTGTCAATGGAGTGGATCTACTTGAGACCTGCTATGAAGAAATTAAACTCGTCCTTTTGAACATCTCGTATGAAGATCTTGAATATAAAAAAAATGGCAGAGAAGCTCTAAAAGACAATATGATTGAAGTCTATGCAATGATATTGTCAATATTCATAATTGGATTCGCCTTTTGATTGGTCCTCTTAAAGTACAGAAGCAGCTCAGAATGTTTCCCAGTAATGCAAAAGCTGTTCTTCAAACCCTGGGGCCTTTGACCACAATATCTCTGTTCTCAAACACCCTTTCATGCCCTCCATATCCGTAACACCATCATTACCGTCTCAGCTTTCTCCAAAGGTGAAAGCAAAATAAAAGGGACATTCCTTCACATAATTCAAAGAAACCAAAGAAAAAGAAAGGGGGCCCAAGGGTAATGGATGTATTCCATCTCGTATGAGATATGAGTGTGCTTTTATAGTTTCATTGACTCTTCAATGACCAGTCAATTAGGTTTGATTGATCGATCATCATTTGTTTTTCACTCGTTTGGGTAATCATTATTTCTTCCCTTTCATGGCTTCATGCACATATGCGGACTCGGTGCTTTCATACCAAAGATTGCAACATGATGGCCAAGTTTGACAGATAATTGAGCAACAAACAGCTGTTGCTAGATATTAGGAGCAGTTGATCGTGGATGTGTTGATACTTTTTATGGATATGTGCTGGCCTTGTTTTTCTGGTGTCTAGTTTAATTGATGTAGTGGATTCTGCCGCCTTCATATAATCTGCAGTGATGTCTATTAAAAAAAAATCAAGTTGACAGCAAGAAACATGGAGGTTAAAAGAAAAAGGAATAGTTGAAAACACTTGATCATGTTGTTCTTCCTTCCCTTTAGATGAGATTAGGACTAGATCTTGTATTTGTAAGAAAAAATGAATTCTTCAATTATTATTCAGTTCTTAAACTATAATTTTTTATACTAAAATAAAAAATTAAATATTTTTATATGAAAATCACTTTTCATTTTTATCTAAGTTTATTCGGTTAATTTATTATACTCATGAATTAATCACTTATATATAGATTTAGATTTATTTAATTTTATTATTAAACTTGTATATTTTATAGATTTCATTTACTAATAGCTGATTGAGTAGCATATATTTATATTTCTAACATGAAAATGTCAAGCTATCAAGGGATATGAAATTTTAAAGATGGTAACAAATGAACAATCCAAACGGGGCACCCCAATTTTGACACATAAAACACCTTTTCCCCTTTGTTAGACAAGAAATAGGTCGGTCGAACAATAATTTGACAAATATGCCATGGTATTAGCTGCTTCAAACAATAATGTCGTGATTTCTTTACAGATATTCAGACAATTTTTAATACAGTTTCTTTATTTAGACAACCATGTCTTTTTAAATTCCTAGCGAAATAAACAAGTGTCAACACCTTAAATGAAAATAAAGCCTTAAATGAAAAGGTGTTGTGTAGTTTGAGTTGTAATATTTATTCATAATTTTTAATCAATTGTAATATACATTCATTTTGCAGTTATAACTGTTCGAATTTAAATCCTCTAAGAACAACATTGTCTTCTACTATTGAAAATATTTGATGAGTTAAAAAAAATTATTATTGATTTTAGAACTTCATAGGCATTTATTCTTTCATAGGGAAAGAGAGAAGGATTTTTTTTTTCAAAGTTGGATGTGCATGTTACTTACTGTGGAAATTAAAACAGACCCATCTTCCAGATTGATCGATATAAGTAAAAGGCATAACCCGACCAAAGTCCAATTAAGAAAAGGAGAGGCAAAGGGTGTTGATTTTGAAAGCTTGTCATGGATATGAACATAAACACGAGTTGTCTGCTGCCCCGACAATGTGTTGGGGGCTCGTTGAATCAAGGTTGGGCTTTCCCCACGGGGTGAAGTTGACACCAATATTAATTGGCTCACACCAAACCACACACCTTGCAAACAATGTATTGTCCCAAGTAGGAAAAGATAATTTGAAAGAGTAATATAGGAGGTCAATGGAAGTGGTATGTCACATCCAAGTGTTCCTCTCAAATAAATTCACCATACATTTATTTGCCCTGGTAAGTAGCTACAAAGTTTAAAGTTTGAAGGTGACAAGAGTTTGGTTTTGCTATGGGAGAAGATATTTTATGTTGGGCTGTTTGTTGAGGAGATCAAAATTAAGGGTTTGAAGACCCGGGGAAATAAATTATGAATGGGTCACTAGGGATCTTTCACTTTCATTTGGTCAGTAGAAAAACCCTTTTTAAGAGTGCAACAATTGAACCTTCCAACACTTCACTTGGGACCATTGAAGCCCAACAAAATCCCTCACCTTAAAATCTATTCAAACCCAAAATTCCTCTACTTTTAAGAAAAACTGTACACACATTAATGGTTTAACCACGCGTGTGTATAATAGCAATACACAAAGGAAATAAATGGTGTAGCCCTAAGCTCTACTAAGAGTACAATAAATGGTGTCTACACGACATGAAAAGGTTTAAAGAAATGGCCCCATATGGATCCCTCCAATAAACTATTATCAGTCAATGAAAAAAAGGACTATTGGTTGCCAAAATCATACTTTACCCTCAAAAATAGAATGCGCTTTGTGGTTTAACTTGAAACGATGCCAGGAAATCCCTTTAATATCTTCAGGCAGCTGTTGCCTCATTTGCAAATTGCACAACACAAAAATTTTAGCAAAGAAAGTTTATTTATTTTACACTGAATTGAGCTTTTTGCGGCAACCAAGGAGACTATACTTTTGGCTGAGAGCTAACGAGTAGCAAATCAATCAAACCATTTTTAAATGTTATCAAAATTGCCACATGTTTATCTCATATGTCCCAAACATGCGTTGCGGTCTTCGCCAATTAGGCTTTTGCCTAAGCGACAATTTGGACTCGATCTTAAAGCTTATTCTATTAAAGAAACTCAATGAAATAAATAATAATTAAACTTTTGTGTTATATAAATACATATATGTTATAGGGTAAACTATAACATTGGCCACTTAACTATTTAATTATTTTACTTTTGTCATCGATCTTTTAATTTTGTCAATCATATCATTTAACTATTTAATTGTATTCAATCAAGTCACTTACCGTTAATATCTAAACGGAAATACCGACGTGACAATTAATAAAATATGTATAATGATATAATTAGTCCTCAATAATAGTATCACCATCTGATTGGAAGTTAAATGAAATAACAAATCAAGGCAAAACAACAAATTAGTTGGGGGAATCAAAACTGTGAGCTTGGTAAGGTTATGCGCAAGCCTTACCACCGAGCCGAACTCAATATTTGTGTTAAAGTACACAATACTTTATATGTTCCTTTAATGCCAAAAAAAAATGTCCATGTCTGAATTGAACATAGGTTACATGAAAAACTTAAATGAACTAAACTACTCGAACAAATCTTACATTTAAGTAATTAATGAGTAAATTTTGTATATATATTAGATACTGGTTTATACAATATTAAAATAAAAATTAAATTTAAAATTTATATATTTTAAAATAAATTTAATATTTTTTCATATTTATAATTCAAGGATTATATATAATTTTAAATTAAATGTTTTTAATTTAATTAATGATTTTCTTTTTTATTAAAAATAAAATGTGGATCGTTTATATGATAATTAGTCTTTTTATAAGATTGTGTAGTTTAAAATGTGTAATTTAAGTTATATATCATAATTAAAATTGATTTAAATTACACATTTTGAACTACATAATTTAATAAAAATTTATTAAATATAAGTGATTCATACGTTTTTATTTTTTAATAAAAAATAAAATCATTAATTATTAAAAATATTTTATTTAAAATTATATATAATCTTTGAATTATAAATATGAAAATGAAAATATTTTTAAAAATATATAAATCTTAAATTTAATTTTTATTTTAATATTTTATAAATCAATGCTTAATATATATAGAAAATCTACCCTTCAATAACTCAAATGTGAGCCTTATTCTAGTAGTTTAGTTTTCTTAAGTTTATTACATAGCCTAGTAGTTATTTTCTTTATAGCAATAACTAAAATATAAATGATTGTGTAAAAAGTAGGGATGTAAAAACATATAATTGTGAAAGCTTCAGTCAGATCCTATCATGTCAGGTAAAATCATATACATGTCGTATTCGGTCATTTTGATGGTTGGACTCGGATCATGTCGGGTTCAGGTCAAACCAGTTTGGATCATTTTCAGGTTGATTTGACATCAGATTCAGTTCGGGTTAATTTGAATTCAGATCGATGTCAATTCAGGTCAAAATGGTTCAAGTTCAGAATAGTTAAACACCAGGTTAATTCATGTTCAGATGGACTTCAGTCAGATCTCATTCAGATCAGGTCACATCATTGACAGATAAAATTCAGTTCGGATCTTTACCAGATATGGATTGACTTCAGGTCAGGTCATTTTTTTATTTTTGGATTAATTATTTTTGTTTTTCATGGACGTTGAATTGTAATTTGTAATTTGTAATTGTATATTATTTAGAGTAATTTACTAAAAATATAAATAATTATGGATCAATTTTGATAAAAATATAATTTTAAGGATAAAATTGAACCAATATGAAATTACAAGTAAAAATTTAAATAAATTAAAACATTGATGAGTGACAAAATTGAAATAATTTTAAAATGTGAGGTTGAAATTAATATAAAATGTACTAAATTTTACTCATTTAAAAAGTTATGGGTCAATTACAAAAATATAAATAAGTAATAAGTATGGGCCAATTTCATATGCAAATATAGTTTTAAGGACTAAATTGAATAAATATGAAATTACAAATACAAATTTAAATAAAATAAACAACACAAATGGATCAAATCGAAATAATTGTAAAATGTGAAGAAAATATGTAAAATGGACTAAATTGCATTCATTTCAAAAGTTGAGAAAAATTGAAATAATTATAATAAATTAATATATATACACTATATAATA